TCTCCCTCTCTTCCTCTCCCTCTCTTCCTCTCCCTCTCTTCCTCTCCCTCTCTTCCTATCCCTCTCTTCCTATGCCTCTCTCCCTCTTCCTCTCCTTCTCTCCCTCTTCCTCTCCCTCTTCTTCTCCCTCTTTTCCTCTCCCTCTCCCTCTCTCCCTCTCCTTTGCCTTATATGCCAATGGAACCAGGTTAGGCACTATAACGTGTGGAACTCCTCACAATTCTCTATCCAGCACCCCCACACACTCGTCCCCACCCCCTCTCGTAGCTTCTTCTCCATGCCCCCTGAGCCATCCACTCACTTTCTTCCCTACACTTCCCTAAACCCTATCCACGCTTCCTCACTCCCCATCTTCTTTAATCACCCCATTTCCCAACCCAGAGCCCCCCCCCCTCAACCCCCAACCAGACCGGCCACTGACACCCAAGGACCACCAGCGCATACCATTATGGGCTGAACTCGCCTCTATTCCCTTTCGAAGGTTGCCAGCTCGAGATATGGCTACGTTATTGCAAGGACACGCTCAAAGTGTGAGGCGAAGTGACTTTCCATCTCAGATCCGAGACACGTTTCTCCCTGCCTCATCATTGAGCCACATAGGCCTACATTCCAAGGACATCGATTCCCCTCCTCATTTTCTCCTATTTTTGGCCCGTTCTCAAGCCTGCACTCTCATCGCCCTCATCCTCACCGTTTCCGTAAACCCATACTTCCCTTTCCCTACTGCCACACTTTACACTCGCAAAAGGACAAATAATTCTCTATCTTCTGCGATGCCATGGCAACGCACACCGCATACTACATGCGAGTAAACGATCTCTCTTCACTCTTCATATTTTATTCATTTACACTCTATGGCGCCTGTAACTCCGCACTCTGTAGCACTCGCAACGCTGGATATAACTCTTATGACCTCAACTGCATTTTTATTGTATAATGTATGTTTATTGTTTTCTTTTTCGTATACTGTTTTGTGATTAACACGATGATTAATCTTATTCGGTTGCAACTTCAACTGGAGTTTATTGTCTATTTACTATCTACTGTAAGTTTTTTTGTTTTTTTTTTTAATATTACGTTTTGTGATTTACCCGACAATCAACCTTGTGCTTTCCTTATTTCTGTAGTTACACTCTATCAGCGTGTGTTCTTGTCTGCACAAATGCAACTTCTGCTTCGGATCTGTGTGTATATATGGGCCGTATGTTACATCCATATGCACAGTACATACGGGGTAATAGTGTAACGACAAACTACATAATTACCGACCGAATAGGAATATTTTTACTGTGAGTCATTTCCTCTTCCTTTAGAAAATGAATGACAGTTATCACTACAGTAGAAATTTCTTCTTAACAATCTATGCGTTCGAATGTAATTAGAAAAAATAACATTCGCACAAGTTGGCAAAGACAACACACACAAGCAAATAGTCAGTCAGTCAGTCTGTCTGTCTGTCTGTCTGTCTGTCTGTCTGTCTGTCTGTCTGTCTGTCTGTCTGTCTGTCTGTCTGTCTGTCTGTCTGTCTGTCTGTCTGTCCTGTCCTCTGTCTGTCTGTCTGTCTGTCTGTCTGTCTGTCTGTCTGTCTGTCGGTCGGTCGGTCGGTCGGTCAGTCAGACAGTCAGTTAGACATAGTCAGACAGAGTCAGTCAGACAGACAGACAGACAGACAGTCAGTCAGTCAGTCAGTCGTCAGTCAGTTAGACATACTGTCAGACAGACACTCAGACAGACACAGTCAGACAGACAGACAGACAGACAGACAGACAGACAGACAGACAGACAGACAGACAGACAGACAGACAGACAGTCAGTCAGTCAGTCAGTCAGTCAGTCAGTCAGTCAGACAGACAATCAGTCTGTCTGTCTGCCTGTCTCCCAGTCTGTCTGTCTGTCTGTCTATCAATTGGCCAGCCTACCTTCCTGCCTGCCTGTCTGCCTACATACTTGCCTGGCCTACCTGCATATCAATTAGCCAGCCTACCTGCCTGTCTACATACACAGGCATGCCTGCCTGCCTGCCTATGTCTGTCTGTCTGCCTATGTCTGTCGTGTCTGTCTGCCTATGTTTGTCTGTCTGTCTGCCAATGTCTGTCGTGTCTGTCTGCCTATGTCTGTCGTGTCTGTCTGCCTATGTTTGTCTGTCTGTCTGCCTATGTCTGTCGTGTCTGTGCTCCTATGTTTGTCTGTCTGTCTGCCTATGTCTGTCGTGTCTGTCTGTCTATGTTTGTCTGTCTGTCTGCCTATGTCTGTCGTGTCTGTCTGCCTACGTTTGTCTAAGTACCCATCGCCATCCGTTTCCCTATATTGAAACATGGAGCATATTCTCCATGTTTTGGAGAGTTTGTCCTTGACTTGGTAACACTACGAAATATCCGACATTGCCTCGCCTTTGGGAGTTTAGTGTTGATCATATGACCGGATATTGGACGCAGAACGTGACGACTGCGATGTCGTTTGCCAGTACATGTGGCCTCACCCTAGCCTAACCGGGGCTGCACAAGCATGATTCAATTGCACGTGCAGTGCACTCTGATCCTGCATTGGGTTGGTTTAAATTTCGCAATGCTTGTCAGCAAAATTTGATCTAAATACTAGACTTCGAGTTTCAAAACTTTTATGAAATTCCGTCAACAAAACACGTGGCTCTTCAAGTAACTGGGCCCACATAAAGTAATTGCAAATAGTTTCCTTTGACTTGCATTTGAATGAATTTCATATGCCTTCCCATAAAAGAAAATCCGTATGCCGAAGCCTAGGTCAGCGTACCGGGAACGAACACGTACACCAGCTAGGCCTGTGCTATGCCTAAACCCAGTCTTCTTCAGTAAACACACATACCTGACACCACTAGAGCTTCGTTTGGTCCGACGGTGTGTATGTTGCCCATGTTGTCTAGCTTGTCTTCGCCGTGTTCTCCTGCTGCTCGAAGAGGTCACAAAAATCGTAGGGTGAGGAACGCGTCCCGAACTGCGCTATGTAAACATGCAGACGACGCCCTGCGCTTCTTCCGATCCGCGACTCCTCATAAACAGCCTTTCTCTTATGTCGGAATCTCACACTCACCGCATATCTATCCCTCGTGACCTCTTGCGCAAGACACCGTTGCGATACCACGATTCTCGCGTAACAGATCGGAAGTGCTCGTTATCTCAGATTTTGAGGTATTTCGAACGCGGGAAGGACGAGCGACACTCACACCGCAGCACAACACACGCCAGACTGAGGAAGCGAGGGCGACGCGCACCCAAGAATGTGTGTGTGCGCTGCGTCAAGACAGATGTCGCTCGGCCGTTTTTACTTTAATTCTGCCTTTTTCTCTCTCTCTCTCTCTCTTTAGTACTCTCACTTGTTCTCTTCTTCCAGACTTTTTTCTTTCTTTCTTTCGTCCCTCTTTTTTGCACAATGCAGTTTAGTAATGGCGGCGTTTCTTATGTTTCATTGCGTGGGTATGTGGTTAGTGGCAGTCTTAAAAGGAGAGAAGCGGCAGTAAATATTTTGGGAAGTCATAATAGGAAAGGATAGGCGTAAGTCACTTAGCATTCATAGCCAGACTTGACTTTAGGAAACCGGGAGACCAGATAACATATCTTCAGTTTTACAACACGTCCCTTTAATCCGGCAATGCCATTCATAATCTTTCATCGAGCGATTTCTAAATTCCGATAAGGATATCTTATCAGCCATACGTCACAACATGGGTTTTGAGATCTTGCAAGTGAATTCTAATATCTCACTGATTTCATCACATTTTCAGTACATAGGCATCTTCAAATTATTATTGTGGCTATCATCATTGTTATTGTTGTAATCCCTTAAGATTCTTTTCCTATTCTTGTTACAATCAGAATTAGTTAATGTGATGAGCAAAATAGTATTGTAAGATGACCATCATTATCGTTATTGTCATTATTACCATCATTTATGATTATTGTTATTATTATTATTATTAGATATTAATATTTATAACCTCTCCAATCGGGATTCGACCCTTTCCGCCGTTGCACGTGAATGCAAGACGGTCGCTCTATTATTATTATTATTGCAATAACGATTATTATTTGTATCATCATTATTTATCTATTATCATAATTATTATCAGTATCATTATTATCTTTATTACAGTTACTATTATTGTTGTTGTATTATTATTATTATTATTATAATTGCTATTATTAGTTGTAGCAGTATAGTATTATATTATCATTATATTAGCTAGCTATTGTGGTAGTATTAATTACTATTATTAACATTATTATTATCATTATTCTTATTATTGTCATTGCTATCATTATCACTTGCATTTTCATATGTATTATTTTTTATCAATATTACCATTATGAGATTATTTGTTTATTCATTCATTATTGTTATCACCATCTTTACTGTCATTATCATTACTACTAGTAGTATTTATAGTAATATTAGTAGAAGTGATATTGTTATCATTATCACCATTAACATTATCATTATCATTAATTTTATCGATGTCATAATGAGATTTATTAATTGCTTCATATATCATTATTACTAGTAGTGAGTCATAGTAGTAGTTGTAGGTAGTAGTAGTAGTAATATGATGTTATTGTCATTATTATCATCACTTGTATTATTATTATCCTTATTATTGTTTATCTATTATTGATCTTGATGTTATTATCATCAGTATCATTGTTATTACTGTTATCATCATTATCATTGTCATTCTTATTGTTATTTTTATTACTCTTACTATTATTATTATAATCATCATTATTAATGTTATTATTATAATCATTGTCATTATTACCATCATTATTACTATTATCATTACTATCAGCTTTACCATTAGTCATTATTATTTTGATTATCGTAACCATTGTCATTATTATTATCTTTACTAATATTGTCGTTATTATTATTATCATTATTGTCATCATTATTAGCATTGCTATTATCATTATTATTATCCTCAACATTAACATTATCATTACTATCATCATTATTTCCATCACTGTCACAACTGTCATTCAATCAAAATTATTGATTTTGTCATTGATGTGACCCTTATTAGGGCCATTTACTCATCGGCAATGCAGTTATTATATCAATACTATCATTACAAATGTTATCATTGTAATTAGAGTTACTTTAATCAAAATATCTCGTCATTGCCATCATCATTATCAACATCACTATTATCATTATTACCCTTTCAGTCACGTGACCGAAATTCGCCATGTGCCACGCCCCTTTCACAACTACGAAGCTGATTGGTTCTCTTATGACGTTCATGTCGCTCCGTTTTATTTATTTATTATAATTATTTTTAGAGGAACCTGATTCACAATTAATAATCTCAACATGTTCTGGATGATAATAAAAATAAAAAAAAAAACTTTATTGCGTATTCGTCAAAGTCAAAAACAATATGGTTCTCATTAATGCATGTAATTCACTGCTTTTATTCTACAGTCCTATAAACAAGAAATAAACAAACGAAACCTAACATAGATCGCAGATTCTATACCTAAATATAATTCGTGCCATGATATAGCTTATCTAAGTTGACTGTATGTTTAATGGACTGACATGGACATCGCTGTGAGTGACAGGCACTACACACCGCTTATAGATTTTTACCTTGCCATTCACATTCGATATCTGTCAGCAACATATGGTTTATAGGCAATAGACGACTGGCAGTTGGGATGTTGGGGTGACTGGCATTGCTTTCCTGAACATCTGACCTCCCCGCTACGTATATAGTCCATTTTATAGAGGTCTATCGGTTTCACGATTGTATGGGATATACCTAACTTGGGCAATATGTAGTAAGGTTTTATCTGCAGTTCTAAATACTTGCAATTATTTGAAGTCGTGTGGGCGGAGCATAGGCGCTGCCAGGCGTACGAAAACCCATCGGGTTGTTTACATGTACGAGAAATGGTAGGATTATTATGGTAATTCAGTTTTAACTGGTTTAGTCCCAATGCCACATCACATGCTAGAATAATGGATTATGACATAATGGTCCTAAAGACAACTATTTAATTCATTTGCACAAGTTACTTGACTGACTTCCACATTCCTACCATCCTGTATTATTATTGTTATAGTTATTCACATGTGGTGATGTTGACCATTATAAATGGTAAACGATAATACAATAATAATGGTAACAATGATGGGGAACTAACGATTTTATAACAAAAGATAATACATCCTTATGGTGCTGATTCATCAATCATGCCGATTACTCCTGTTATATTTCGCTAAATAGATAGAAATCGATAGGAATTTTTGGTACCTGATGGGTTTGATAATATAAACTGGTGCTAGAAAAAATATATATGTACTTATTATTTCTATTACTATAGGTATGATAATCATAACAATAATTATCATTATTGTTATCATAGTTGCTTTGTTATTCTTATTATCATTATCATTATTATAATCATTAGTATGATCATTTTCATTATTATTATCATAACGTATCATTATAGTTATTATCATCATTATCATATATGATTAATATAATTTACATGGAAAACAAAAGAAATGACAATATTTTGGTATTTGTGGAGATTTTTTCGAAGGATCATCAACAGTCTTCATCTATTTAAATCTGCCTTTTGACAAGTCTCAAAATCACATATAGTATACCTCTTATTCTCGTATAAATTCTGTTTCTTTCTAAATATGAATAAAAACATTCTCTTACGAGATGAATGATGAATATAAATCACGTAAGAATTTCAAACGATTATCTGTCAGCCTGCATCAATGTTGCACATGATGTTAAATTGTGTTCAAAGTTTCATTGACTTGCACGATTAATATTTTGAACACCCTTCCGTTACTCCTTATTTCTTAAGTCCAGTCCTTTATTTCCACATATTTATCATCTTTATCATCATTGTTATGAATATGTGTATTATGATTATCATTATTATGCTTACTATTATTAACATCATTATCATTATTAATCATTAGTATTATTATCATCGTTACCATTATTATTATTATCTCTACATTGTTATTATTGTCATTATCACATTTTATATTATTAATTTTACTAGTAAAATCATCTTTGTTCTTATCAGCATTGTTATTCTCATTATTTATTTCATCACTGTTATTAGTAGAAACAATAACCACTATAATCATCATAATTGTTCTGATTATCATGATTTTTACCATTTTGTTTATTGCCATCACTGTCATTAGTATCATCATCATCATCATCTTCATGATCATTATCGGTATTACGATCATCATTAACACCATAAACATCCACTGTAATTATCATCATTATTATAATCACTATTACAATTATCACCATTAACCTTGTTATCATTATTATCATTATATTAATGAATATCAATACCATTATTATTATCATTATCATTGTTAACATTATGTTGTATCATTATTATTATTTTCATCATTATAAACATTATAATTATTGTTATTATCATTATTATTATTACTATGATAATGATGATGATCATCATCACCATCATCATCACTATCATTATTATTTTACTACTACCATCATCATTGCTCATCGTTACTATCCTCATTATATCATTATCATTATTAATATTAGCACTACAGTTCCCAATATTGATATTGTTGTCACTTCGATATCATACATTCTTGTCATACTATCGTTAGTGACATTCCTAATCATGGCAAAAACAATAATGTTACTTAAAAAAATCATGACACCCAATCTTTATGATAATGATTTTTTTTTTTTTTTGTCATAAAAAAGTTGATATGCATCCTGGCAACCATTAGGACCAACAATTCGACAAGAAAATAAAGGCTGTAAATATGATATTACAATCTAAATCTAAAACAAACGACGATAATTTTTTTTAGATAAAAGAAAGAAAGAAAAGAAGAAAATAGATACATATAAGCATAAATAGATAAATATTGACCAGGCGAAGACAACGTTGGAAAAATTCATCCAAAACAAGTTCCTAGAAACGAGTTTGTGGGACCGGCGGTTATGGAGGATAAATCATACGGGCATGACAACGTATGCCGGCGGTTTTTCCACCCCTATGTGCACGAGGCATGCACTGTCGCCCTCATAATTACACGGCTTTATAGAGGTATGTTTTGTAACGACTTACTGTTGTTCTTTTGTATATTATTGTGCGATGTGTTAATTTGGCGCGAAACGGGAGGAGAAAACGGAAAGAGCAAGAAAAGGGAAGAGAATAAAAGATATTTTAT